ATTTCTTAATTGCAACTTTTCTACTGAGTGTTTGCACTATACTTTCTGGAATCTTATTTAACAAAAATAAAGGAAAAAAATTGCTTGACTAAACTCCGTGGCCAATTTAATTGAAAAACAGACGACTGTGTGGATGTTTTAAAGACAGTCCTGTGTGTTTCACGTACCCTGCCATTTTCTACAATGCAGTCACCCTGTCCTCCTTCGGGGCCCTGGCGTGGGGTCTGCTCCCCTTCTGATGAGCAGCCCCATCTCATGACAGGTGGCAGCAGTGGATGGGGATTCTTTGGTGCTCAATTTTTGCACCTTAATGTGAGATTCCAGGGAAGAAGATTTGAATTATTTGTAATTCCTCATGACTAGTCTCTCTAAGCAGTGTCTTCTTGCTATTTCAATCTTTTATAAAACAATAGGAAAAAATCTTGCCTTCCTGAAATGAAATATGGAAGTTAGGGTCTAGCCTCACTGTTGGTCTGTGCCCCATGCAGACCTAGTGAGTCCTCGGCCCTTTGGGCAGATGGGGACAGCCACCTCCAGGCAGAGGCCTCGGTGAAACAGCACAATCCAGGGCTTCTGGGAACAGCATTTAGTGGAGTGAGTGATGGCTGTCATTGTGATTTAGGGAAAAAAACCCATCCCAGCCCAGAGTGGAGTGTGGGCCCTAATTGTGGCAGATGCTAATTCTCCTGCATCCTCAGAGAATGTCAGTGGGTGCCTCTGTCCCCTTTGAGAGCAGGTTAAGTTGTATGCCTGCCCTGGAACTTCCAAAGCTTCCTGCCCAATGAGCCTGTGGGGTGGTGCGAAGCATGGCCAGGAGAGGAGCACGGTCACCATGGAGATCTGAGAACTGCCAGTGGGGAGCCTGGCCCACTAGGAAGCCGTCCGTGGGCAGAGGGAGGAGCAGGAGGAGACCCCAGGAGGACGCACTGGAGGAGAGGTGGGGTGCGCGGGTTCCACGCTCTGGAAGCGCTCAGACTTTTCTCAGGTTCTGTGTCGTGCGGGCGTGTGGGGGGAACCTAGTAACTGAGGGTGTAAGCCTGGGTGTGCTTGAGCTGTGACCGCCACGCGACAGGCTCCATGGTGCTGCTGGTGAGTAGAAAGTATTCACCGGACACTTGTTAAAAATGGTAGGAAAGAGTTTATTCAAGGCTAGTGCCAAAAGGGAGAGAGATCAGACTCCACTCCAGATACAGCAAAGACAGCTGAGGGTTCTTGGCCACCGGGCAGAGTATGCGGCTCTGTGGATGGAGAGGTACCAAGAGGAGCTTGGTCAGGTATCCAGCACCAGGATTCTTGCTTCAGGGCAGCCAAGGACTTGGACATCAGGGGTGGGGGATGAGGAATTTCTAAGAAGAGCCAAGATAAAATGGAACAAGAACAAGAAGTGTACATTGCCCTCCTAAGTGTTAAGGCTTCTTATAAACTTATGGACAGTCATCTGACGGGGTAAAATTGGAGGCCGAGAAACAAACCCAAATAGGTCAATGTGTAGGGCCTTAGCACCTAGAGAGAAGGCCTTGCACATCGGGAGGAGAGGCATGGAAAACTGTCCACCTGGAGAACACTGGCTCACAGAACAAGGGAATCCCCCTGGTGTCCCTTGGACGGTGCACTGGGTCTGGTGTCCCAGCCAGGGGGGCCTTTGAACACAGGTCGCTGGCGGGGAAGAAAAGTGGGCAGGGGGATCCAGATGAGGGGAGCTGTGTAGCAACTTGGGGCAAGGATGCAGATGCCAAAGCTGGGCCTGTCCGACAGGAAGCTCAGGAGGGATTCAGCTGCTGCTTTGGGAGGTGGCAGGAGGTGGGGGGGGGATAGCCCGACCCTGGCTCCTGAAGCACCCCTCCCCTCCCTTCCTACTTGGGTCCCACACAGCGCCCCTCACTCCATCCTGCCTTGGCCTACCTGTGCCCCACATAGACCCCGATGCTTTCCTCCCCATTGACCGACCTCGAGCCTCGCTGCCTGCCTTGGACCATCCCCAGCATCCCCATCCTGCCTTGACCTACCTGCACCTGGGGCTCCATCCTGCTTCCCTGCTGGGGACTGGCCTTCTTGGATATGTGCATCTCCTGGCAAGCTCTGGAGCCCTGAAGTACCTGAAATAACCATAAGTAAAGGAAAAGAATAAAGTTCAATGATAAAGAAAATTTCTATAATTTTATTCATTGAATAATGTTTTTAACGTTTAGATATAAAATATGCATATCTGTGTGCATATGCAAGAATATATTTTGGGTATTTTTGTAACAAAATTACATATTAACATTTTATTTCTTTAAAAAATTTAAGCATTCTGGCAAAATGTCAGCATTTAAAAAGTTTTCTTTTAAGAAATCAAATAATATACAAATGCTTGAAGTTTCTTTTTCACCTTTCCTTTATCCCATTCCCTTCCTTCCATCCAAACAGGTAACTGTTACCTGAAGTCAGTGTTGTTTTACTTTCCCAGCTGTTTTTTTTTTCGCCAGTCCCGCGGCCTGGCGAGGGTGGGGATCCGGCGAAAGGATGAGGGGCGAGTTCCCCTCCCGATCTCAGAAGATCTCCCAAAACGGCAGCGGCATGGCCAGCCTGCCGCTGCCTCAGGCGGCCCACGAAGCATTCAAAGCGCCCGCGCCGAGGTACCCGGCGCTCGCGATTGGCTCAGCTGGACCAGCGCCCCTGGGTGGGGCCGGCCCCCACGCAGCGGCCGCGGGTCCCGCCCCGCTGGTGCGCATGCGCGCAGTCCCCACAGGAAAGAGTCTGCGCACAGCGCCGCCCGATCTCCGTCTCGCGCCGCGGCTCCGTCCCCTGTCCTCGGAGGCTTGTCGGCTCGGCGAGACAGCAAGAGCTGCTGCCGGCA